CTTTCCCTAAATCTTCTAAACGGGGAGATCATTCTTTTCCTGGTTGTGTTCTCACAACTCGTCCTGTCTCTATTCTCCTCAGTGGCCTTCTCGGTCCTGTCTGTTCTTTTGGCTGTGCTCCTGGTAATCTGAAGGATTTTCTTTTGCAAGTAAACCCCACCTATTCCGGGGCAGCTCTGGCCACTGATCTTGGAGCTGGCCTCACTGGGAGGGGATGAGGAAGACCCTGAGAGGTGCAGCAGGATGCTGTGATCAGATATGACACTGCCAACTGGAGGGAGAGATGCAAAAACCCTGACATGGTCAATGAATTCTTTCCAATTAATCACAATTAGCCTTCTTTATATAACTTCACTATTAAACATTTCTAACATCTTGACAATAGCTGAAAAGTTTAAATCTAACAACATATTTCTAAATGCATGGAAAATCTATATAGAATAAACACTTTAATCACTGCAAGTCAGAATACAAGAGAAAGATTACTTTGATCAGAACAAACTGGTGATAAAATAAAACAAAACAAAAGTCTGAAAGCAAGCTGAGCTGGTAAAAACATAAGGAAAAAAATGACATTAGTATCAGGGAACCAGAATTACTTCTTAAAGTAACTATGTGGACATAGAATTTTTGGGCAGATTTTACTAACAAAAATTTAGGTATAAACCAAATAGGACTGGGGCCAGCAGGTGGCATGGTGGTTAAGGTGCTGGATCCCAAATAACTGACTCCACAGTTCGAGTCCTGGACCTGGTGGCTTGAAAATCAGGCCAGGTGCCTGTGCATGTGTGCATATCCAAAATCTCAAGAGGAAAATGGAAGAGAAGGGACTGTGGCACTGTTATACCCCTCCAGGGGGTGATTTCTCACCTTCCCTCTCTCTGTCTCTCTCCTGCAAGGGCACATGCCCTCTGTCAAAAACCTAAAACAAAAACAAATAGGACATACAAATAGTATATATAATAGATGTATTCATAACATGACTTCTGATTCTGTTCTGAGCCATGGTGGAGAGACTGCCTTTTTTTTTTTTAAACTTTAATTTTATTTATTCAGTCATTTACTTTAATTTGACCAGAGAGAGACAGACCCATACACACACATGCACATACAGAGAGAGAAAGAAAGTGAGAAAGCAAGCTACCAGATCCAGGACTCAAACCGTGGTCAGCCATGTCACCTGCTGGTCCCAGAGACTGCCTTTTTAAAAAAAGCACTGAGAAAATGATGTGTAAGGTTTCTTGACTTCTTGCTTTTTGAAATTCTTATTTAAACTCCCCTTGTGAAAAACATGAAGATGTTACTTTCTTAATTTTCAGAAAACAAACAATTCCAAAGTTTACCAACAGCTAGGAACATATCTTATTAATGTATCCTTAGTGAAAAATCACAGACTACTGCCAAAAACCTGTCTGTGGAAATAGAAATATATACAGTTGAGGTTTGGATAGAATGTATGTACAAAGGGAATTGAAAAAGTTCGTAGAAATATGGAATTAAAGTATGAGTTCATTTTGGTGTCAAAAATATAAACTCCATGCACCGCTTTTTAATAATACATGTATTTTTTCTTTTTTTGGAGAGGTTTTTGATATAGGGCGCATGTGCTTGCTAGAGAGACAGACAGAAATCACCCGCCGGGGGGTGGCCACACCGCAATTTCTTCTCTTCCATTCTCCTCTAGGGATCCTGGGCTTACACGCACACGCGCCCGGCCTGAGTTTAAGCCATCAGGTCCGGTACTCGAACCACGGTTGACTACATGGGAGTCCAGTGACATGGCCATTACGCTAACTGCTGGTCCCAATAATACATATTTTTCATGAACTTTTTTTTTTTTTTTTTTTTTTTTTGGGAAGAGATTTTTGCTATAGGGCGCG